TTACATATTCCCCTTCCATATGTCTCAGGGGATAATCATGTTAGAGTGAGTCACACTTGACCTCCATTGCAGAGGATTTAAATAGATCATAAATAATGCTGCAGTGTAGTCAAATTACTGATATGTTGATAACATGTCATATGTATGTTTGATAATATGCCATTTGGACAGCAGTGTTCGTAATGGCCTTTCATTTATGTTATATAATGTAGAAGGACAATGATTCATGGTCATTGGTAAAGTTTAAAGCTATAGAGCAAAATGATTATTCATATAAAAGGTTGTTTTGAAGGCATTCATACAGCTACGATTGCTTTAACTGGTTTCCTGATGTAGAGATGGCTATTGTACTGTACGAAGATGATGCCACGAGCACAGATGCATTAAACATGAGCCATGAGCCGACACTGGAATAAAGTGGAACAGATGGTAAGCATATTTTGAGCTGAGCCAGAATGAATAATTCCCCCAACTGATGACACAGCAACGCCAGCAACAGCTTTGAAAACTCCCAACTTGTTGTGAGAAAAGTTTAGTTTGTATACTCATGTCATCTTTTTTTGTCTTTATGTCACAAACCTTGGAATGACACATTTTAAGACAAGTTTTTTGACAGATCCAAAATGTAAAAACATGAAAAACTGTGAATATTATAAAAGTAAACACTGTAAAAGGAAAACACAACATCCACAAACTTGTCTTTAACTGTAATCCCTTTAGTCTGCACTCCCCTCGCTGTGATGATCTTTGGTTTACCTTTGTCAACAAGCTGTGTGTGACATTCTGCTTTTACAGCAGCTTAGCTCTCCAGGTTCAGATGCTGGATGTTTGTCCTTGAGGGGACAGCTGCCCTCAGACCTACCTGTCAGTTTAAATAAAAGGTGGCAGAGCAGTTTTCGGTACATTTCCTGGAAGAACTCGCGGTATAATCCATTTCAAAAAGGTAATATGCCTTAACAGAATCTTTTCTGCAAAGTGACGTTAATGTTTCCATCAAATTATCAGGTTAAAGCCTTTTTATTTTTAACTAATGCTTTGACGAATTACTTGTTCATGGAGTCTGCAAAGAGTGACATGTCAAGCATGTTATTACATATCTGCTCCCATGTTCAGGAAAGGCCACAGTTTTTACTGCACTGGTCACTGACAAATACGGTTGTGACGTTGTACTTTGAACCAGTTGCTGTCCATAAATTACACTCAACATTAACTCCACCTACCAGCCTGTTTATGTCTTATTTTGTTGACGTTTAGCTCAATCTTTGCTGTTTTTTTCCTCTTTCCCAATGATGATGGGCTTTAACATTTGATGCTAAGGAACCGCCACCAAACCACAATGGTCATTATTTCTCCAGTGTGGGAATATATTTTGCACCAAAGTTTTGTTTGACTGCATTATGCATTACAGTTGCTGAATGATTTATTCCATCTGACAAGTAGCCCATAATTGAATGTATCTTTCAAACGCAATGCTGTGAAAGCTATCACACTCACCCACGTTCGACTTCATTGCCTCCAGGAAGCCTATTGCCCATTCTACCCCAATTAAGATTGTTTCTCTGTGTTATTACTTTCAGCATAACTCTCTCATAATGGAATGCGGGGAACAGGAAGGGTCAAATGCAAATTTGAGCAAACCAATTAGGTGGTGTTTTTATACAGCAACACTTCTCATGAGAGTTCTGTTTTTAATAGATGGCCATGCCAGTCATTCAGTTATCTGGACTTAAACAGATGGAGTGTTTGTTCCAGTTCTGTGTGTATGGACAGGCTCTACTCATTCTGACTGTGGAATAGAAACAATTCCGCTATTCATAGTCATAATCTCCTATTTAATCGAGAAACTATTGATGTGTTAAAGTGATACAGATCAAAACACTTCGGTGAATTATCTGAGGGAATTTTCGTTTCGATACTCCTCACACGTACAGGAACCGTGTGTCAAAAGTGACCTTACTTCCCTTCGATTATCTCAATCTTCATTGTCCTCGCCCCCTGTCACCTATTGATCTCACCAGTCCTTCAAAAATAACAGCAGGGGGAGGATATTAAGCTCCTCTGTGCTTATGTGACCCCGACGAAAAAAGTAAGACAGAGAGGGAAAGAAAACAGTGCTTCATTCTGCAACATTTAGTCCAATCAGCTCCCTGAGGCTGAACGCCGAAGGGAGGCTGGGCTCCTGTGGTGAAGGAAAGTGAAGGCTGCAAGGCTGCTCTATTTTTCTATAGAATCAAAAATGCATGTGGGTGAAGTGCGTTATGAACTACATACAGTACTATGTCTAACAAATCCATATAGCCTATAAGCACATGGCTGTTCAGCATCACAGGCTACTGACTCACTGGTATATTCATCGTGAAGCATCCAGCGTGGAAGATTAATGGTTTGAGTCTGTTCAAAAACTATGCCCAAATAGTACAGATTATTTAATAGTGATTTTACATTGTTTGTGATTCCTTATATCTGAGATTCACATGTTTTAGCATTGTGAATATTAACTCAGTAAAAAAATGTTGTCATGTTGTAATTGCATAGTAGCTTACGGCCAAGTGCTCGTGAACAGTGAACAGTGTCTTCTGGCAGCATGCAAACACCTGACTACTGTACCCGGGGAAGAGAGCAACACTGCTTACAACCGATGGAACGAATAGAACACAATGTAGACCCCTGAAATATTCATCCCGCTGCCACAGCAGGCACTCAAATGGCAGCGAAAAAGACAATGATGAAGTGAATGACCAACAGCGGGACGGAGGCTTTGCCCGGCCAAGTGAAACCACCTTTTTGAAAACTGTGGTTTTACTCCTGCTGCTCAAAATATAGAGAGTAGTCATGAATCAGAAAATCCTCACTCCTATAGCAAACCTACAGTGCACAAAATATATCGACATTTAAATTAAGACATGTTAAGTCCTTGCATCATGCGGATGCCATGTATTCTGGTAGCAGTTGCTAGGTAACAAGTTCAGGGGGAAACCCTCATTATGAAGTATTTAAAACGCGTCATTGATCGCTAATTAGATAGAAGTATTTGAATATTTATCTTAAATACTAATGCCCACGTCAGTAACAGCTTGTAAGCATTTAATTTGATTTCTTCACATAATTCTGATTCTAAAGCAAAGCATTGCTCTGGAAATTGCCTCTGAACATTTGATTTGTTTCTACATGTAGGAGGATGTTTTACGAATTGTAGATCAAAAGCTTGTGTACTGTATGTCACGCTCGCAGAGGAACAGAGGCACACAGTTACGTACTATCTCGTTCTCATAGCTTCACTCTTATCAAACAGTTGCCTCCACAGCCAGAGCCGGGGATGCAGCCGAGAATCCGCCACCCTCGTCTGAACAGGCTTATTTTTAGCAGGCATGGATTGTGAGAGAGCACTTGTTTTATTTCAGTCCTACTGGCTCTGCCTGAAGCACCACAATCATTTGGTGCCCTTCAAGTATGTAGAGTCATTTTCCTGGTGGTAGGATGTATGAAGGTTCACTGCAACTCACAGAAACATTCCTCGTGGCCACGGAGGAGCCTGTTTTTTGCTCATTCTTTAATGTCACATCAGTGAGTTAATGATGGGGAAATGTGTCATCACTAGAGTTTAATTATTTCACAAATATAATACAAATAAATATCTTAGCACAAGAAACCAGATCAAACTGTACATTTTTTGCTGTGGATCACATTCTCAACTGCTGTGGCTCTCCATGGCTGGAAAAAATACAAAGAACTCCCGTGCTCTCAAATAAATATTTCTGGCAAAGGAGGGCGACAGTTGCATCTTAATGCAAACATTAAATAGAAGGGAGCAGATGAAGCGAGATCATCAGGCAAGCAGGTTCAGTATTCTACCGAGAGAGTAGGCTCGGTGTGATGTGTCCTCCTCGGCTCCTTTTCCCTGCGCTGTTGGCGACTAAAGCAGAGACAGAATTTGACTCAGGTGCAAACTGAGCTGTTTTGTAGACGCCCACACCAGCCCGTTATCTTACAAATACAATACACCAGAGACAGGGCATCTGTTGTGGCTGTGTGTATGTGTGTGTGTGTGTGTGTGTGTGTGTGTGTGTGTATGTGTGTGTGTGTGTGTGTGTGTGTGTGTAGGGATATGTTATATTTTGTCTGTAATTGTATGCCGATGTTTACAACAACAGAAGACAAACAGATGATGGATTTTTAGCATCCCTGTCTGTTACCAAATATGATGGACACTTCTAACAATACACTGTAAATAATAAATATTATATAAAACATCAAAAACACTGCAGCGTGCTATCTTGATGGCCGTTGCATTAGGCTGTGGCAGCTGTTTCCACACTGAACTGTCCAACCTAGAGGGAAAGGTGTAAATGTGAAACAAGTCATGACAGAATGTGACAAGAGACAGGAATTTCCTCTCTTCCCCTACGGTATTCTCTTTTACACTCTCTCAGCCATTTTAATCTCCCCCTTAATACCATCCCTTCCAGACTCAACTTTGATCACTGTCATTTTGCAAATTTACAGGATTGGAAGGATTGAGACAAATGCATTATTCATCTCACACACCAATTTGGGTCTCCTCTGTCTGTAATGCACTTGTCTCATCTCCCTGTCACTTTTGTCTTTGGCTCAGTTGGCTCTGTTGGAGGACGGCACTGATCTTTGGGGATCTGTAACGGACTGCAAAGTTTAAACCAAAGGAAACTATAACAGAATCACTCTAGTTAAAAGAATATGATTAAACATCACAATTTGAATTATTATTATATATAATATTGTATTTAAATGTATCGGCTAGTTGATCTTAGAGAAAACAGTGGTTCCATATTACTAAAGTAAATCTTTAATTCATTATTATTATTATTGCCCCACTAGTTATGTGGCTTCAGTTTATGTTGAACAACAAACAGCAATACCAGCCTTGTATTTGTGTCATGGTGCAGATATTGTCTAACCATGCACCATCATGATCACATTGAGCTGGAATAAGCGCTATAAGCTTTCCAACCCAACTTTCACTTCAGTAAATCACACCCAGGGCTCATGAGTCTGAAGCTGTTGCAATAAAAATGAATTGGAAATCACTGCAGAGGCCTTGAAAAGTTGATTCACTCACCAGTCAGATGGACTAAAGACTAATTTATAGTATGTGGCAGTGACAAATTGAGTCAGTCCAACAAGGTTACGTTTGTACCCAAACAGCAGGGCTCATACTGACAGATGACTGAATGTTATAGATCTTTTGGATGTCCAATATGTATGATAAAAACATAAAGAATGACTGTTGCTGTTGAGGTTTTTGTTCTGACATGGCATGTAGTTAATAATGATAATGGAAGCAGATTTACCTCTCGAACTCTCAGTCATTTTTCAAACAAAGGGACCTTTATTTCAGACAGCGGTAGACAAAAGAAGCCTTTCTTGCCAGCAATTCGATTTTGTTAGCAGGAAATGTTGCCAGCTGAAGAGGGTATCTAGCTAAATAAGATAACATCAAGCTAACATAAATCTTTTTAATGTTGCCGATCCTGATTTTTTTAAAACAACAACATTGTAACAAGGTGTTAAATATGGCTAATAACATATATTATGCTAAAAGCCTGAGGTTAAAGGGGCAATAGGGAAACAGAATGGCTTGTCAGCTGGTTGAAGAGTGCCTGAACCTAGAGGAATAAGAGAGGCTGCGACCCACAATTTCTGTAACATGTCAATCCGACACACACACACACACTTCATACAGTGCTGGGCGGAGGTGAGAAAGTTTGATTTTTTTCCTGTTTCTAGTATTTCTGTCACTTTTCATGTGTGAAACTATGTGCAATACAAACGCCTTCCAGGAAAAACTGTCCGAAAGTGTGAATGGTTATCCCCATATTAAAAGGAGTATTGCATGCATCTCCCACGCCCGACTTTTCTCTACAAGTGAGACAGTTTGAAAACCACTTTGGCTTTCCAACATGTTTGACATCGTCCCAACCAGCTCTTTTTGAGAGTAAACCAACATTAAAGTTTTTATGCCTCAGGCAAAAAGTCAGTACCCTTACCACTTGATGATCCATGTGGAAGACATAGAAATAAGAAGTAACTGTTCTTGTATTGCAGAGAGAGTCCTAGTATTACAGTACATATACAGTACATACACACATACAGTACCAACCCACACAGACATACAGTACATTCTGTATATTGTCACTTTATTCTGACATAACCCTTGTTGTCTGGCTGCTTAGGACTATGACAAGCACTAGCGATGACAGATTTATACTTTATTGTTTGTATTTTTGAGGTGTTTCACTTTTAACATTACAGAAGACAAGCCTTTTCGGATGAGTTGCAGAGGGCCGAGTGTGAACTTCCAGGACAGAGCCGCAAACGTTAGTTGGTTATGGAGAGGGATAAACAAAAATGAACACCATCCAAAGCTTAGGCATCCAGTACCTCATTATGGTTGCTAAGCGGATTGATTGATGATTGGAAAATCACCGTTCATGGGGAGGGGCTTAGCAAACTGTCAATTGGATGGTTAAAAACTAAAAGCTTTTAATAAACATGGGCTGAAACATATACAATTTTTCCTTTTTTTAATGACATGATGACAGACATGTTGCATCTGAAATGGTCAACCAGGCTGCAAGGGAAATAAAGCAAACCACTGTAGCTATGGGAAGCAACTTGTCTTGTTTTGCAGTGTGTCGTGCAGTGCAAAGTCACCAACAGTTCAGTCTTATGTTGCACCATTCTTCATATGTGATGCGTCATAACCATCTTGACGCTGACACATAGTGATGTGGTGAGAGAAGTGTTCAAACAGCCAGTCAACAAGCCATATGTCATTTTGAATGTTCAATGAAGTTTCTCTCTTATTGTCCTTTATAACAACAAAGCAGAGTTTTATTTGCAAATGTCTGTTTCCAAAGTAAATTGATTTGATTGTGGGAATCAACTGGATTCAGTTGAGGTCGAAAAGGAAAATAGAAAATGCTGATCTTTCACTGTAAATTGTGTTTTATTTGTCCTGTAATCTGCAAGCAACACCAGCTGTTTTCTTTGCTGCAGGCTGAGTCTGTGTCAGATCATATTTGTCAAGAAATCTGATTATGGAAATTATCAAAATATCCCTCAAAGAATTATATTTTTTATGGAATTTTAACAAGATTTTAAACTCTGAATAACCCTTTTCTTGCCTCCTACTATAATCCTGCCACATCTTCCAAATACACTTGAGTTAATAATTTTTGTATTTAAATGCTATTTCTGTGGAGAAGCATTACTGTTAATGGAGAGGCATTAATTCTCTTCCTGCTGGAGAGACCTCACATCACAGAGGACAAAAACACAACAACAAAAAACAGACAAAGTGACATCTAGAGCAAAGCTCTCCTTGGTGGTAAAGGGCTAGTGTTTTCTGGCAGTGCAAGTGCTGATTTAACGTAGCTTTAAAGGATTTGCACCCAATTTCCAAGGTGTCAGAGGATAATGCCATCAGCAGTTTTGCTATTCTGATCCATGGAGTTTATTTGAGAGATTCAGAAGAAAAGGTTTTCTTAAAATAAAAACAGAATCAACCCATCTGCCTGTGGTACAGCCATGGCACTGACTTATCTCCACGAGTCCTTTAAGGTATCTCCTGAACCACAGTTATTATTATTTACACGGCGTATTTGACAGCAACAAAGGGTGTACTGTCAAATATGACCAGCAGCAGTGATTACACAGGGTATGATCAAAACAATGAGAGCACAATAATAAAAGACTTCTCGCAGTGACGGCTCTGTTTCGATGCGGAATCCTTTATCTGGTACAGTTTTGCTCCAGATTTAGAAATAGATCACATCAATTTGCAGTCCTGCATGTGTTGTCAATAAGGCAAGATAAACGTACAAAAATAGCAAGAGCAATCCACCGTTAATGTTGTGTCTTTTGTGTTTTTGAAAGAAGGTCTGCAGAATTTACCACTGATTCTAAAAAGATACAATCGCCTGCATCTCTGCTCCTGAGATTTTTGATAGGGTTTTGGTCCAGTTATCTACTAGAACACATGTTCAGTATCAGTCGGCATAGAAAGTCCAAGTATCCAAGTATATCATTTTTTCTGGGGGTTTTTGTCTCATCTTACTAAATGCATATAATATATGCACATGTCCTCGGAGACATTTACAAAGAAATCATTTCCTAACAAAATAACAGATGCTATTGAAATGATGGTGTGGATCGATGCCTTGTTGCTTTCCAAGAAAGAATTGAAAACATTTTGAAGGAGATTGATACCACTCTCACATCTGTACAATAAAATTGAAGCTACAGCCAGCAGCCGGTTAGCTTAGCTTAGCATTACCACTAAACACAGGGGGAAACAGCTAGTTTGACTCCGCCCAAAGGTTACAAAATCTGCCTCTCAGCATCTCTAAAGCTCACTGATTAACATGTTAAACAATAATAAACAATTTGCCATTTCACAAGGGGTTATGTGTTGTTTTAAAACTTTAGTTTTTGTACAGATTAAAATAAATGAATTGACATCTTAAACAAACAGGATACAACATGTCAAAAAGTGGGCTTTAGAGTGAATGGTAGATGGAATTTTTTCACCCTTGGACAGAGCCAAGCTAGCTGATGTAAAGTCTGTATTCTAGGTTAAGCTTTAAGTCAAAATAGTTTTGCGCACAGTGATAATATGCATAGGTTTTGGCCAGTATCAGATTTATATATCAGGTAGATTCACTCGCACTGCCAATGCCGGATCTTTACAGTGAGGTAAGCATGTTGTTGGTCTTTCATCATTTTGACCGCACCCTGTAATAAGTAATACATTTTATTTGTTTGAACGGGTAAAGCATGCATTAGATCTAGTCAAAGTAGCACGATGCTAAACAGTTGGGTTAGATCTTTATTCCTGAAGAGATTGGGTATCATACAATGTATATGATGCATTTAGAGAAAACCAGATTATATGGCATGGATTCAGTAAACAGAATGAATATGGGGCTGTGGTAGACCCTGTGGCTATATAAAGATTATAGTCATTATAATATTATTGCTTTCATCACAAAGAAGGCAGATTATGGGCCCTTAATACAAAGGTTATGATTTCCTCACAGGGCCCACCTCTTAATCTAACAAGTAACACCTAAGTTGAAATTCGAATTGAGTGTCTTTTATGTCTATATATTTAGGTTGATCTTGTTATATGATGAAACAAAGAAATTGCACACAGAACTACTGTCCTAAGCAGTTGATTTATGAGAGAAATGCCCATAAATGCTGTCTAATATCACAGGGTGTTATATAATGATTGCTTTGTGCTCATCAAGTAAATGTATTGACTCTTTCAACTTAAGTGTTACTTTAATAAGCAAGTGAAAATTGTGTGGGATTGTGCCCACTTCAGACAGGTCATATGATGCCAATAATACATTTTCAAATGCAAAATGCATCATCCAGCAACATATTCTGTATTTGATCAACTCATAAAGTCATAAAATCGCACATGGTAAAATAGTCTATATATGAAATACCAAAAATCCAGCTGTGAACAAACATGAAAATGGAAACAAGGTAATATAATTAATGCTAAACATCTGTGTCTATTACCTTTGTATAGCTAAGTCAATAAGAGGAGCATGCAATCAACGTAACATTGCCACAATTTTACATTAAACAACAAAAGCAATCAACTCAAAACAAATGCATGTGCCTTTCGTCACCACAAATTAGAACCATGTAATGTAGGTTTTCCACGTTGTAAATCATATGGCTTTGTGGAATTGTTCACTGTCTGTAAAATCACAGATGGAATTGTTTTTGTAAAATAATATATCAATAAATGTCATGCCAAAAAGTATTGAGATTCTGCTCTACATGCGCTGTTTCTTACATGCCAGATTGTGCTAATTGTACATCATCCTAAAAAAAATATCAGAGGTCTTTCATAGGATGTGCACTTACAGTACATCCAGGGACAAATGTGCTCTATTCCATCACCCTACTTCATATAAGGTTTATGTGCACATTTTGTACATTTCTTTTCATATAAGAATATTGTCCATTAATAATAGTACAAGGTAGGGAAACAAAGGTGGATGGCATAAGTTAAAATATGTCGCCTGCTCTATGTAAAGCGATCTGAATTCATCTTTCTGAGTTTGGGCGGCAGGTGTCCGTCCATCCTGCCCCCTCCTCCCCCAGCCAGTCGCTGCAGTTTGGGAGGTAAGTCCGCCACAGACTTACTCATGGTCTCCGTGTTGATCTTGGAGGTCTTACCCATCAGCTTATCATCAGAGACGCCTGGAACAGAGCTGATTCGCTGCAGCTTCATGGGCAGGTCTCCAAAGCTGTAAGTCATCTCCGAGGTGGTGGAACTCATCCTCAGTAGCTTCTTGGGCAGGCCTTCCCGCCCTGTGATCTTCTGGAGCTTGGTGGGCAGCTTGGTGGTGCTGTCATTGTCCTCCAGGGTCTCCAGACAGTCCAGAGAGCTGTTCTTCTCCCCGCTGTTGCACAGGGAAGGAGCCATGAGGGGCGAGGAGAGGAGCAGAGCCTCTTCCTGCTCCTTCACGCTGTATGGAGGGGTGGGCACCTCAAATGTAGCGTGGAACTGAGAGTAGTCCACCTTGAAGAAGCCTTCCTCCAAGGAGATAACCGGGAAGAAGCGGTGTCCCCACAGAACCTCGTCCTCGGTGTAAGACGTCCTTGCTTGGCAGGTCATCCCTGTTAAAATGAAGGAAAAAAACCCCATTAAAAAAGACCATTGAGTGGATGAATTGTCCGATTTATAAGTTCATTTTGAGGCCTCAAAAACAATGGCAAATGACGTGTCACTCTTGGCACAGATCAACCCAATAAAGACTGAAGATGAAATGTTTCATGACTCTCGTCAACAACAGAGGCCTGATTTAATTATATGATTGGCATCGTTCCATAAGATTCAACAAAACACTATTTACCAGGATTCTTGCCATTTCACATCACAAAGCCAACAATATTGCAAACGAAAGTGCCTCAATGAATAAGTTAATGTATTACAGAGCCAGCTGCCTCAATAAAGCTTAATGGATTTTTTTTATTAGTAATTTCCTGCCTAACTTGAAAGATAATGAAAGGTTATTTGTTGTATGTGTTTTATAATAACGGCTATGTATTCATTCATAAAAGACCCAATTCATTCTGAAATTCCTGTTTATAAGGAACTGTCAGTGCGATTAAAGATATACCGACTCAAATAGCTGGATCGGATATCATGAATGACTGGGACGATCTATTCAATTCAATTTTCATATACATTATATTAAATGTAATACCTGTTAAGTCTGAATATTTCTTTAACAAATTGCTAATATATGATTTATTCTTTTAGTAAGAAATAACAATTCTAACAATATCTATGTATTTATCTGTTACGTTTTGTTTTACAAAGTTAGGAAAGCATTGTTAAAGTCAAGCCTGATGTTGCCTTACATATCATCTCACAGAATGATCTCAGTCTCTTCTACACAGTAGAAGTCTCTTCTCAGTCTCTTCTCAGTCTCTTCCAAACAGCTTGTAAATTAAACACTAGTGTCGGATGGGTGCATAGTGTCAGCTGATACACAAAGCCCAGGTGTGTGTTTGTGTTCAGGGTTGTCATTTTATGCACTAATGTGGAAGCTCAGGGTAAACAAAACAGAAAACAATATGTTAATATCAAATTTTTAACTGACCGACCCACCGACAGAGTGATGCTACAGTTCAAAACTGCTTCTAGTGAAAAACATTTCTCCACATCACCTCTTATGCTACTTAACAGCTCAGTCCACACCTTTAGCTTGGCTGGTAACCACAGAAGATAGAGGATTAAGATAATCAAACTGCAAGAGCGCCAGCAAAGGCTTCAGGAGGTCGAGCTCACACTAAATTTTCTTTTGAGCTTTCTGACACAAGAAAGGGAACCCAATTAAATCCAAAACATAAAAAAGCTACATAAAGTATCTGTTACATAACATTGTTCAGTTGGAGAAAAGCCAAAGTGAGTCTGACAATTTAGTAAAAGCGTTAATTTCTCTCATTTGCCGACTACAAATTAAAACGAGATATCCTATTAAGCATTTTCTGGGTTTGTGTGTGTACCCGTTAAGTAGGCTTTGCAAATTCGGCACGAGATAGAAGAGATTGATACACTTCAAGCAAATGTTCCCTCACACGAGAATCTGAATTAAATCCCACGTTTTTGGAAGCAAATTAATGCAATTAGCAAAATCACGAATGATCAACAAAAAAAGTTATTGGATGCTTATTAGTGATTACTAATCACTGCCTGTGCATTATATCATGCTACATTGCTCACAGCAAAGCCCCATTCATCTTGGCCTATAATATTCTAATGAAAACACAACTTTCTTACTGAAAGTGAGCAAAGAAAATCTATAATTAGGTTCACATCTTAAACAAAACACTAAATTGGTTATATCACTCCCAAAAGCCCTTATTTTAGCACAGAGGAATGGCTGGGGGCACTCATGTTGAGACTTGTTGAAATCCATTAGGAAATCAACGTCAGCAGTAGCTTATTATCAAATGTTTTAATTACCAGCTTAATATTGTTCTGGCAGCGACAGTTGGGTCAAAACTGGGATGAAGCCCTCGCTCACAGTCAGACACCGCTGCTGATTGTGAACATGTCATCATCGCAACTGGAGGCATCTGTGATTCCACCCTATTCCCAAGGTCATAAAATAATTCACTGATAACAGCTCGGCACACAATCGCAGATGTGCAAGAGACTGAACATCAAGTGCGTTCTGGGTATTCACAGTATTACTTCTGCACTATTGCTTTGCAGTCCCGGAGCCTTTAGGCATACGGGAAGTGTGTTGCAGTGAATAAGCGGGCAAAGCTAATGAGAACTTTTAGGGCCAAAGCGCTTTGAGAGTTAAGTGTTATGGAAATCTTATTGCATTGTGAGCCTTTTAAACTGCCTACTGCCAAAACATAGTCACCTTTGACCATCAACAGGTTACATTTAGTGATTCTGGTGTAAATTGCTCTCTGTTTTGGTTTTAAAACAGCTACTTAACCACCACCAGACGTCAGCCGTACCTGCTTTATTGAATAGTACAGTCGATGCTGCAATGTTAACTGGACATGCATACAGTAAACATAGGGCTATAGAACGTCAATAGCTATACTTTTGGTGGTGCATGATAAGGAAAAATGGTGCATGATAAGGAAAAAGGTTGGAATAAGTGAAATGAAATTGTGCCTGAGGCAAAAGGTTGCTACAGTAATACACAAGACCCAAATAGATGCATCTTACTTCTATTAATAGTGCTCTATTGTTCCTGCAGATGGTGTAGGAGTTACTGCAAGACCTCAGTCTCTGGAAAGACATGAACCCTGCTGGCCTGGGGCTCAATCCCCCTACTCCAGAGCCACTCAACCCCACAAAAAAAGAGGAAGAAATCCCACTGATGTGGATGGTCTAATCACCTGTACCCTTCTTCAAAAATTAACAATGACACTAGACTTAATCATGGTCGTTAATATGCATTTACTTCCCATACATTATTCAAGGCTTGATTCCTGAGCCGTTGCATAATCATAGACATGGTTGCATCACATATGTACAATTGTTTTGATAAAGATAAGCTGCTGTGCTAACACCCACATTCATATGGCACGCAGTATAACAGACACAGCAACAACAGTGAACTGCGTGCCTCCACTGTCACTCAAGCCATGACACAGTTTGAAACTCGATGGAAATATCCTCATTATGTGGAGAAACGTGATCGACAGAGACCTTGAGATCAAACAGAGTACAATCTACCAGCTAAAAATATCACAAAACATTAAAACCAGATGAATATATTTTTTCCAGTTACTGAATGTAATTCCTAAAATAGGAATCCAGTCAAATGAGAATACCCATATTGGTGTGTATTTCGTATTGCTGGCAAAGGCTTATGTAACTCAAAAACACACGCCTGCCCAGGACTCAGTGTTTCTATGGAAACAAAACTGTAGGAATGTGTGCATGCGACAGCCATGAACCTCTTCACTGCAGAGTTTGGTCAAAAGTAACAGTGGCAACACAAAACAAAAGTCTCTCTCTCAGATCACGACGTCCAAACTCAACTCAAAATGGAAGTGTGAAATCATCCTTATGTCTCCAGAGTCAGACCAAAATGTTTTTACTGTCTCTGAAATCTGACCTTTTACGAAACAAGAGGTAAATCATATACTGACTTCTCATCAGTGAAGCACAAAACGATTTTCTTCCTTGTCATCTATCATATTGTTTTACATCTGTGTCATGGCACCACATTCGATATCATGAAAGCATTGTGTCATGAACACACATGGCAGGGGAGGAACACCAGTCCTATCCTATCTCTGCTGCTGTTTGCTGCTGGCAACATGTAGCTGAAGGACATTACACCAGTGAGGTAGAAGCACCTTAGATGTGTGGTGTGCAGTGTTTTCACAGACAGTTAGAGGTATTGGTAACATCAGTTAACATACGGTATGTCAAAAATGTAAAAAGCAAACAAGCACACACAGCTTCAGTTATTTTTTATACACACTTTTTATACTCTGTAGGTACACCTGGCTATATATATATATTTAGATCTTTTATAATGTTTTTGCCTTTCCCAAATCGTACAAGGAACGCTGGTAACAATGTCTTTAACCACTCGACCATCAGGACACTCCACACTTGGCTATATTCAGTATAATAGCAAATTATATTATTAATATACTGGCCTGAAATTACATCATTACTTACATCAAGTAATAATGAAATGTGAAAAACAAGATGCTTTTTTTGTCTTGCTGTTTTGCCTTTCAAAACAATTATCTGAGTTTAATCCAATGGCTGTATTGGCTTAGTTTATCTGAAAGTTCAAAAATCACAAAGATAAAATGAATCAGCAATAATTTTGACAATCAGATGATCTATGATTTTGTAACCAAAATGCAAAACAATTGCCAGTTTCAGCTGGATATACTGCTTTTATTTATTTAGTTATAGTAAGTTATATTTTTGGGTATTGCTTGTTGGAGAAAAAACAATTTGAAGGTGTTAACTTGGATGTTTGTTGTGGGATATAAAAAAATATATTCTGATGATATTTTACAAAAAAAAGAAAATCAGGAGATAATTGTAAATAATTGTTACGATACAGTTTTTGCTGCAGCTCAACACAAAAATCAAGCAAAAACCAATCAACACACATGCAGATTCATTGATTTTTCTACTCATTAACAATAAAAAATACAGTTAAACTCCACAAGCTCTATTCAGAGAAAGAGAAATGCTGAAGAAACCAGGAGGGGAAAACATCATTGGAATCGATGAAGAGGCAATTCCTCATTCAACGCATTAGGACAGACATGTGAAAGTGTGTGGATCCAGTACACTTCTCAGTAAATGCTTATCTGTTCCCCTCTGTGATAAGCATATACCAATACATTTCAAATCAATGGAGTGGCCCTTCTCAATAAAGTGATGCACAGTAAGATTCTGCACCACCTTGAGTAAACAGTAATGTTCTAGTCGTGGTTTACCATACACACATATGTTCCAGGGTCAAACAAACACATCTGTGTGTTAAAATAAATCCTTGTGCAGATAATGATTCCATAAGAGACAGATTACGACACAGTCTTTCCTGCTGGAAGTTGTATCAATATGTGAGGCTATTTGAAGGCTCGGTTGAAATTAGTATCTC